GGGATCTGAGGGTAGGGACAGGCTTGGGCTGTCGTCGAGGCTTCGGGGAGGGAGGGAGGGAGGGAAGAAGGGAAGGATGATGCTCTCCGGGCTCCGCACCCGGCGAGGGGTTCAGGTGAGGATGCTCCCGGGGTGTCCCCATTAAGTGCCAGCCTCCCTGCTGTTCCAGCTCCCTCTGGAGGCTCCTTTCCCCGGAGGGGATGTCACGGCACCGACCCTGGGTGCCAACCTTCCCCTCCCGCTGTGTTTTGAGCCCTGCCCCGTTTCCTCTCCCCCCTCCCCGGGTCTCCGCGCCCGGCGCTGCAGGTGCATCGTGAAGATCACGGGGGAGATGGTGCTGTCGTTCCCCGCCGGCATCACCCGGCACTTCGCCAACAACCCCGCGCCAGCCGTGCTCACCTTCCGGGTGCTCAACTACAACAGGCTGGAGCACGTCCTGCCAAACCCACAGCTCCTCTGCTGGTAAGAAAGAGCCCGCCCCGCCGCATCCCGGAGGGAAGGCAGGGTCCCAGAAAAACGGGCTGCTTCGCCAAAACGCAAGGAAGAGTCTTCCTTGGAAGCTTGTCCTGGTTTGGGGGAAGGAAGCTCTTGAGCCCTTAAATATTTGCTGGAGTGCTCCCTGTGAAAACAGCCCCCTTGCCAGGCAGAAGAGGGTGAGAGCCTGGCCCAGGTTGCCCAGGGAAGCTGTGGCTGCCCCATCCCTGGGGGTGTTGAAGGGCAGGTTGGATGGGGCTTGGGGCAGCCTGGGCTGCTGGGAGGTGTCCCTGCCCATGCAGGGGGTGGGACTGGATGATCTTCAAGGTCCCTTCCCACCCAAACTGTTCTTGGATCATTTTGTGATTGTTAAGATAAGAGCATCAGCAGAGGATCAGGAGCTTTGATGGGGTTTGCTCGTTTTGCACCTGGCTCTGCTCATTCCCCCTCCTGTTTGCAAAAGGGCACGAGCAGGTGGCACCTCCTGTGCCTTCCTGGAGGTGACTGAGGACAGGCCAGGACATGTGGGGGAGGCAATACTTCTGTAACGTGGGACTAGACACGGCCAGCACTGCTGCCCTGTGTGCTTGGTCAGGGAGCTTTCTTAGCTTTCTTCTGCCAAGGTGACTTACAGGAAGGGTTCATTGTCCCCCTGTGCAGTGACAACACGCAGAGTGACACCACCACGAAGGAGTTCTGGGTCAACATGTCCAACCTGATGACTCACTTAAAGAAGGTATCGGAACAGAAACCACAAGCCACCTATTACAATGTGGATATGCTCAAGTACCAGGTAGGGGCTTTTTTGTAAGATAATACTGTGCCAAAAAAACCCGTTTGCGTAACTTAGAGACGTGCAAGCTGGTATTTCCCTAGTGCAGGGTGGAGATAAGGGGAGTGGAGGGCATGCTGGCCCCTGGGCCCCTCCTTAGCTCACTGGGTTGGCCTGGTTTTGAGCCCAGTACAAAGCTGCTAGGAGAGTACAAGGCATCACCTCCTCTGAAGCCAAATGCAATTAATTGCTGGGTCTGTAAAATGGGATTTCTCCCTTCACCCCCACGGAAACTAAATGTTTTTTCTGTCATTTTGGAAGGTATCTGCCCAGGGTATTCAGTCTACTCCATTAAACCTTGCAGTGAGCTGGCGGTGTGACCCTGCAAGCACTGACCTCCGCATCGACTACAAATACAATACAGAGGCAATGACCACCCCTGTGGCTCTAAACAACGTCCAGTTCCTCGTCCCTGTCGACGGAGGAGTAACAAAACTTCAAGCTGTGCTTCCTCCTGCTGTCTGGTAGGAATCGCTTACCCCAGAAAGAGCTTGTTGCTTTCTCTGCCACGTGCCTGCCTAAAACAGCTGTCCTGCCTGCTCAGGAGGAGCTGGGGACACAGTGGGGACCCAAACCTGTCCTCCTCTTGCAGGGGGAAGCGTGTGACCCTACTCTGACTTCTCGCCTTTCCCCCAAGCACAGGGTCAGAGCTGAATGTGTGTGTGCAGACAGGGGAGTAACAGAGAATCCCAGACTGGTTTGGGTTGGGAGGGACCTTAAAGCTCATCCAGTCCCAACCCCCTGCATGGGCAGGGACACCTCCCACCAGCCCAGGCTGCTCCAAGCCCCATCCAACCTGCCCTTCAACACTGCCAGGGATGGGGCAGCCACAGCTTCCCTGGGCAACCTGGGCCAGTATCTCACAGCCCCTGCCCCTTGCCCACTGCTCACCTGCAGTGCAGGAGCAGCTGTTCCCTGCCTTGAGCAATCCCAAAGCCAAGCTCCTGGAAATGCAGCCCCAGAAAGCAGCACTGGAGCTGCTCCCCCAGCCTACGTGGCCTTTAGCAAAATTCCAAAGTCTCGTTTATAACTTCTTGTTCCCTACAGAAATGCTCTTCTTCCTGTGTTTTTAGGAATGCTGAGCAGCAAAGGATATTGTGGAAGATCCCTGATATCTCCCAGAAGTCAGAAAATGGAGGTAATCCTGCAAATGTGCATGTCATTGACCCTGAATCCTCAGACACTGACCCGTTTGTCATGCCCGGCACAAGTCTAGACACACAGAATCCT